AAGCAGCAACAACAGCAACAAACACCAACATAATCGACATTAGCAGCGGGATAAATAGATAGACCAAGAAAAAAAAAAAAATAACTGAAAACAATTACTTTCCAAAATTTGCTTGAACATTAGTATGAATAAAACCTAAGCCCTACCTTAAATTTAGGTAAACCAATGAGGGTTAATGCTCAACTACTCAATGTTTGTACACTTAAGCCTAACCTAAGCAATTATATCACTTTACCCAGTTTCATTCGGCAAAATTGCACTTATTCAATCGCTTATTGGGGTCAAGTAAATGAATCGCTAAAATTATAATCACCTAATTTCTGTCAGAAATAGTTGATTAATCTGTTCAGCAGAACATTAAATAACTATCTTAGATAAGTCACAGGTGAATTTGAGAAAGAGAGCGAAGTAGAATGCTGGAGTAACTAACAGGATACCTAAATCTATTTGCTCTAAATGCACAATCCACTACTGGTGTACTTGTAGACAACAGCACTATACAAAATACTTGTAGTTTATTTATTTGTTTGCTTGCTTGTTTTTTTTTTTTTTTTTCATCATTTTCTTTGCTATTTTCTCCTTCTGCTTCATCTTCTCCTATTTCTTCTTCATTTTTTTTTTCTTCACAATTTTCCTTAGTGGAATTTTATTGAACAATCAATAAAAGCTCTCGCCTATTTATCGCTCCTCATCTTTGAAGTTGCACAGGACAACGGCAATGAAACAAAGGAATGAAGAGGAGAAGAGGGAAGAAGGAAAGAAGAGGAGTGCAAGAAAATTCAATATGATAATTATTTTGCCAGCAACTAAGTTAATCACTCCAATGTGATCAGTCATAAAATTGTATCTAAAAGGCGTAGAAAACGAGGAAGAAACAAAAAGAGTAAAAACTATAAACGCATATACATTCGCCATCTTATTTATCTATGTTTTTTTGACATTCATTAAAAAAATGAAAAGAAGATAAAATAATATCTTTGAAAAAAACTATTTTACCGCAAACAGGAAGAAAAGAAAACTTTTAAAGCCATTAACCACAACTAAAAAAACTCTGAAATAAAAGGGTATAATATCAAAAAAAAAAAAACAATTTTTGGTAATGTTTTTAAGTATGTTAGCTATCTGTTGCACCATAAAAGTGCATGACAAATTCCTCCACCTCTGCCACGCAGCACCATTCTTTTCCTCTTTCCTTCCTCTCCAACCAAAGCCGACTATCTTCTAATGCCTCTTCACCATCCTCTTTTACTATTTATTTGACTTCTTCCACAGTTTTTTTAGCTCAGATTCTAAGTCACCCCATCTTTTCTGCTCTGAATCTCTGTCACTTCAGCCTATCTAACCGTTGTATCACTTTACCGAAACAAAAATACAAACAATGCAGAAAAAAGAATTTGGAAAACGATAGGAAAAAAGCGAGTGAGTGCAAATTTTTGATAATCAAAAGCAAAGAAAACAAAAGTAAAAATAAAAAGACAAAACAAAACACAAGAAAACAAAAAATAAAAAAAAAAACAGAAACTGAAAGAATTAAGCGAAAAATCAGCAGCAAACAACATTTTTCACTATGAAATGTGCTTTTGCAAACCTTTTGGTTTTCTGTTGTTATTGCTGTACTTATGTATGATAGTGGTAATGATGTTTACTTTGTTATTTCAGCACCAAACTTACATCATATTGTTCTTTTTTTTTTTTTTTT